AAAAGTTCCTCCCGGTATGTTATTTACTTGAGAACGTGAGAAGCTGGAAGATTGGGATTTTGAGGGGATTCTTCCTGACAGTTCTGGCGGCCAGTCTGAAATTCAGCTAGAAGCATCTGCCGAAAAACCGATGCCGGTAGCGACAAAAACCTGCAGGGAACTCTGCAAAAAACGCATCTTCGCACGGGCAGCCCGTGCGTTGGCCATTTATTTTTATCTTGTTTGTAGACGTTTTTTTAGCTTATCAAAACATGTATCAGCTGAAGAGGCTTTCCTTTGTGCATGCTTATAATTAGCACTGCGAAACCAGCTTTTCCATGAAATTATTTTTCACAGCTGGCTTCATCGCGCTTCGCACCGTTCAGGCAGAACTCGATTCGGCGTGTCGGTTTTTCACAGCGATTTCCTAGTTCACACATATTACTGGCACTAACACAGCAAAGATAATGTGCACTTTATGATATTATTCATCAAGCAGGACATATATGTACATTTATTTATATATCAGGTAAGTAGAGATATATATATTCATCTATATTCACATATGTAATTATACATAAGTATACTACGTGTGTGAACAAATGTATATGCACGTATATTTTATATATTTAATCATACATTCTTCTTAACAAAGGGCTGAATTTTTACCAGTTTGCCGTCTTTCGAACAATCGGGGTTTTCTATGCGGGAAACAAGCCCCAATCCTTGAATAGCACGATAATTCAAAAGCCCGATCCGAGCCAATGTGTCATCACGCTGCTTTAAACAAACAATCACATTGTGATGTGTTGACACGCTGTCGTCGGAAATGCATAAAAACAAAGACTTGGCACTGCCTGGTACCAACGTCAGTTCGAATAATACCTTATCGTGCTTAATGCCATTGTTGCAATAAGCAGTGCTAGTATATGATGGCGATTACAGTGGCTCGTTAAAAGCTTAAATAATTTAATAACTGAATGGATACTAACTGGAGGTGTTCAGTTTTAGGACCGAAGGATCTGGCATAGCTGCGTTTGGCTTGTGGGAATATTCCAGTAACATTACACCGACTGCCTAAGCGCTTTTGTTGATTTTGGTAAATAACTGAAAGCTGCTTCAACTAAAAGCGTTTATTTGTCGTTTTGACATCTCCGGAATTCTGTAAAATTTGATTTTTCTTATGTCGCTTTTCATTGAGCCGTTCTGTTTTTTCCTTGGGGAGGGGGAAAGAATGGGAGTTCCGTGAAGAGATGTGGATGTTATCGGAAAAGAAGCACCTCAAAATAAGATACAGTTAAACTTGGCGTCTGGTAACTTTTGAGTAATAACGGATCCCCACACCGATTTTCCGGATAATTTTGGTAATTCTGTTAATTTTATTCTTATTGTGTTAACTTCTCTCAACACGGATTTGAAAATTGTATTGTTGTTGGTTGTAAAAAGTGCATCGCTCTCCGCTGGTTCCAGTAATTTTCGCCACTCTCACTGATGCGAGCAAGTGCTCAAATGTAGCTAATAATGTGTCTGAAGTGGGGA